ATGCGTGGAAACTCAAGAAAAGCGGGAAGCAATACAACATCAAGTGGAGCATACTAAAGCGTGCCCGTGCGTATACAGCTGGTGCAGCAAGATGCAATCTGTGCCTTGAAGAGAAGGTTTGCTTACTGGAAGCTGACAAAAGCAGGATATTGAATAAACGCTCAGAAATATTCGCGAAATGCTGTCACAGAAACAGTTTTAGCGCGCGCAAATTTGAACGCACGCGAGATGCCTCAGCAAACCGTTAGTTTAGAGCACGTCATTGAATCAACTTCATTCGCCTGAAGATCGCTTTGAAAGAAGCGTGAAACACAGTGTAGCGACAAATATATTTTAAGATTAAAGAATTATATATATAATATATATATATATATATATATATATATATATATATATATATATATATATATATATATATATATATATATATATATATATATATATATATATATATAGACCAATTGCACATGACGTCACAGCGCCGGCGACAAATTAGCAATATATGCATAATATAACTTTTGTAAACAAAGCAAATTTTGTAAAAGTTTATAATAATTTTGTATTAAAATGGTCAATTTTTGCGCTGTATGTGGTTGTTGTACCCGAACAGATTTTGTTAGGGAGCATCTGGAGGACACTCTAAGGATATGTGACGTCAGTGCAATAGGTCTATAGTAAGATTATCCTAGTTTATTTAATTGCCACTATATGTTCTAAGTCTTCATTACAGTCTACATTTCAATTAAAGAAAAGAGGATCCCTCATATTTGGTACCAACAGGTAGATCGTCACATTTCAAGAGATTTAAAAACGTTTTGGTTTTTCCGTCATCTGGCCACTTCACGGATGTCAATTTTTGAAGCCACTTTGGTAAATAATCATCTGGCACGTTCACCAGAAGTGGGATAAAACGAATGGGACCATGCTTTATTGTTGTGCTTAGTTCATTCTTGATGTCGGTCACCTCGCTGTACAGGCGTTCTTCGTTTAAGGAGTGAAAACAAGGCATCGAATCAATGTCCACGGTGTCGTCCAACCAGCATAGCTTTAAGTAACCTTGAGTAACGATCATGATGACTTTGTCTGCTTGTGCCAGGAATTTCTCACCGAAACGTTTAGGACCGAGAGAATTGTACAGTTTGTGGTCGTACATTTGGTCCATAACAACGTCAACACTGTGAAATTTCAACCACGAATAAATTCCGTTCACTTGATTAATTGTTGTTTTCTCGGGTAAGTAAGAAACATAGATTGTCCCTTTGATACCTGTATAAAAATAATTATGCTTTTATAAGGTAAAGGGGTGGTTTATTTTATTACAGGGTGGTTTTTCATGCATGTACTTTACCGTCAGTGGTACAGTCGCCTGCATGCCAAATTAGCGACTTCTTTTAGGACTTCGTGTGTTCGCTAATAACACATGAGGCGGGTCTAATGAACCCTCATGCAATACTCTGCCGATACTCCTGGGCTTTTTCCTGGTACTCCGTTTACCCTTTCAGGAGTCCTAGTGATTTTGATAAATCCTCGTCGATATTTGAGTTCGGTGGGAGTTGGGCGGCAATTTTTTTGTCCCTTATATAGATTCACAGATATAGATTCACAAAAATCAGGAAAAACAACCCAAAATTAACTTTGTAATTATTTATTAAAAAAAAGTTAATTTTGGTTACTTATTTTTATGCTTATGCTTAAAGGCGGTGAATATATTTCCTATTCTTGAAGTATTAAGGTCCAGACACACCGGACGCGATTCGACAACGCGATTTTTGGATTTTCACTGACCGATAACTTTGATTCTAGTTTAATTTTCCAAATATTTAGAAGCGATATAACATTTTGAGTAGTAAAAAGCCAATGAGAGTAAATTTTGAAAGATATGTAGACCAAATAACTCAAAATGTTATACCGCTTCCAAATAATTGGAAAATCTAAACTAGAATCAAAGTTATCGGTCAGTGAAATCGAAAAATCGCGTCAGGCATAATCCGAACACTTGAAAAATCCGAACACTTGAATTTGAAAAACTTCCGCGTGGAAGAGTGAAAATCTTTGACAAACAAAGTGTTTATTCAACAAATTCAACTACTTCGAAAGTATTTCTATCCAAAAAAACGTGTGGTAAATTCCAGTCATTTCCATATTTCTTACAGCTACACAGTGTCACAGTTGCTACTTTCTAGATATATACAGGGTGTATAAAAAAAAACTTAACAGATTTGAAATTGCTCTCAATTTCTCTGCAATCTCCTACTTTTACATCTACAACTCACAACAGTCCATCACCACCGGGATGTACACCAACGATTCTCCCAACTTTCCAGTTTCTTCTAGGAGTGTCTGGATCGACTATCAACACAATGTCTCCTTCCTTTAAGTTCTCTTCTCGATCAAACCATTTCTTACGTGATCCAATACTCGTAATATACTCTCGCATCCACCTCTTCCATGTTTGACGTACCAATTCTTCGCCACCGTTTTCGCGGATCAAAAGCTAACGTGTCGACATTTTCTGGAGCCAGTTCGCCACCCATATGTCCTATTAAAAAGTGGTTAGGGGTCATTATTGGATCATCATTCGGATCATTGCTCGTCGCTGTTAAAGGTTTTGAATTTAACAAACTTTCGACTCCCGTGAACACCGTCAATAACTCTTCGTCTTTCACGTCGGCGTTTCCTAGAATTACTTTTATGGCTCTTTTGGCGGATTTAATCATTCGTTCAAAGACACCCCCAAAATGAAGTGCTAATGGTGGATTCCAATGCCAACGAATCCCCTTATTTGATGTCATACGCTGAATGATGTCTTGATCTAGATGCTGTACCAACTCTTGCAATTCATTGTTGCCTCCAACAAAATTTGTCCCGTTATCACTGATATACTCGCTTAATTCACAAGCTCGATCAGCACTTTCTGCCGAGAAAGAACAAAGATTATGCTCGTTTTAAACTCGGAAACTTGGTACAACAAGACGACGAACCGATGGCGACTTACTACGCACGAATCAGAGAAATCGCCAAGAAATGTAGCTATACAGACGAAAACGATGCGATATGCGACCACTTGATCAAAACAATGCGGCATAACAACGCGATTCGTGTCAAAGCTATTCGCAACAACTGTACACTACAAGAAATTCTCGATGAAGCAGCAATCACCGAGCAAGCTCAACTGCAAGTCAAAGAAATCAAGCAGAAACTCGAAGCATCGGAAACGAGCCAAAGAGTGAAATATTCCAAACAAGATTCCTGCCAACGTTGTGGGCGTAAGCACGACAAAGCAAAATGTCCCGCATGTGGTGCGAAATGTCGAAAGTGTGGTAAACAAAACCACTTCGCCATTGTTTGTAGATCGCGTTCAACACGAGGTCCCGGTGGGAACAACAAGCGAAGGGAGAATTCTCAATATCAACGTCGCGACAATAAATCAGAGAGAAGAGAAACAAAAAGCCGCCAATACTCGAAGCCAGACGACCAAAGCAACTATAAACCAGAGCACAAAAAAACAAATACTCGAGTATCAGTTCAAGTGACAGCTCGAACGACGAAGACTTCATCCAACACCTTCGAATCAGACAAACAACTCGATTGAAGGCAAAAAAAATTCTAAATCGTGTACGGTAATGATCAATGATGTGGCAACAGAAATTGAACCGGACACGGGATCGGATGCAAACATAATGGATAAAGAGCAATTTGATCGGCTCCAGAAAGCGAGATCTGAAATTCGGCTGAAGAAATTTAGAACAAAGCTGCGAGCACTTCTTCAAGACATCCCGGTACTAGGAGAATGCTCTGTGATCATCAGAAACCAAACAAAGCAGACACGAACACGCATTATCGTTATTAAGGGAAAAATGGATTCTTTACCACTGATCGGAAGACCCACCTTATCCAATTTAGGAATGGTTCTCATCGACGAGACTGGAAACTTAGAAAATTCCAAGGAAAAAGATACACACAAAGTAAAGAAAACGGACGCAACCTACCCAAAACTTGAAGAAATCCTGGAAAGTATGAAGGAAGAGACGGAGAAGTTATTGAAATCCATTTACCCATGAATGACGATGCGACACCGATAGCTCAGAAACCAAGACGGGTGCCGTATCACTTACTAGAGCCTCTCGAGCAGCGCATTAACGAATTCATCGAAAGTGACATCATAGAGAAGGTCCCCGAACATGAAGCAATCGGGTGGTGTTCACCTCTCGTGGTACAGCCGAAAGCGAAGAATCCTAAGGACATCCGAGCGAGTCTCGATCTCCGAATTCTAAATCAGTCTATGGCACGCACAAGGCACGTACAATCACCCATCACCGAAGACTTTGTAAACGAATTTAAGGACTGCACAGTCTTCAGTAAAATCGACCTGAACCACGGATACCATCAATTCGCGCTCGATGAAGAATCTAGAAAGATAATGACATTTTCAACGCCCTGGGGGAACTATAGATACAAAAGACTTGCATTTTGTGGCAAAAACAGCCAAGATCTTTTTGATGCGGAGATCACAAAGATAATCTCGGGCATACCTCATGTCTTAACCAAACGCGACGACATCATGGTCGGAGGTAAAGATTGGGAAGAACACAATCGGAACCTGGAAACACTATTCGAACGACTCGCAATCCACAACATAACGCTTCGAAAGTTGAAATGTGAATTCGGTCGGACATCGCTAGAATTCCATGGTCATTACTTCACCAGCGAAGGGCTGAGACCAAGTCCTAACAAGGTCAGAGCCATCCAGGAAATGGAAAGACCGAAAAGTAAAGAAGAGTTGGTATCGTTTATCCAAATGATGGCATATCTGTCCCGATTCATCGAAAATTTCTCCAGCAGATCAGAATCACTTAGGCGGATAACGAAACAAGGTCATCGTTTTGGAATCAAGAGCAACAGATGGCGTTCGATGATCTGAGAAATGCAATGACAAGAGCACCTTACTCGTACCATACCACACCGGAAGGAAGACCCTTATTATCTGCGATGCAAGTCCAGTTGGTCTCGGAGGCGGATTATTCCAAAAGACAGCCCATGGGTATCAACCAGTCCATTATGTGAGTAGAACACTGACGGAGACTGAACGAAAGTATGCTCAATTGAACGAGAAGCCCTTGCGGTAGAATTCTCAACAATCCGACTGCAAATGTACCTTGCAGGGTTACAACAATTCCAGATAGCGACCGATCATAAACCGTTATTACCAATCTTCAATAACTTAAATGTGAAACTACCACAAAGACTGGTTAAGGATGAAGACACAGCATTTAGATTTTGTTATGATACACATACCAGGGAAATCGAACATGACCGACTACCTATCCCGTCACCCACTACCAGATATCGAAGAGACACATTTAGAACACCATGTAAGAGCTGTGATCGCAACCGAACATGCCGTTGTATTAGATAAGATACGTGAAGAAACTAGCAACGACAACGAGTTACAAGCACTCATTCAGGTAATCAGAACTGGTAATTGGGAAAACACAGTCATGGACTTGAAACAATATTACGATATGAGAACAGAGATATATGAAGCAGACGGAGTAGTACTTCGAGGTGAGAGGATCATCCCTCCCATCGCACTGCGGAAGAAAATAATCAGTGTTGCGCACAAGCAAGGCCATCTTGGCAGCAGCAAGACGAAGGAAATGATCCGAAACAAGTATTGGTTTCCCTCAATGAATGTTCAGATCGAGAATATTGTACAAGCCTGCTTTAGCTGTCAGATAGCAACAAATACGTTCCACATTGAACCGGCGAAAATGACAAAGATACCGCAACAACCATGGGAAGTTGTTGAACTTTACTTTTGCGGACCGTTTCCTAATGGAGAATATGCCATGGTACTTACAGATCAATTTTCTCGCTACCCAGAAGTCGAATTCACCCGCTCGATAGCAATTGCACCGGTGAGAGAGAGATTGAAGAAAGTATTCGCAACGCACGGAGTCCCAAAAGTTGTTCAAACGGACAATGGACCACCATTTAATTCACGTGAATTCAAGGAACTTGCTAATGAAATGGGATTCACCCATAAATCTGTCACGCCGTACCATCCAAAAGCACAAGGGCAGGTGGAAAACTTCAACAAATTAATTAACAAGGTCGCCGCAATTTCAAAACAAGATTACACCAACTTCCACGAAGCAACATATGATATGATATGCTTCAAGCCTACCGAAGCACCCCACACCCTGCAACCAAATCGACACCATACGAGCTGTTAATGAACCGACAAGTTAGAACGAAATTGGACCATTTTCCCACGGAAACATCACCAAAGGATGACGCCGTGAGACGTAACGATCAGCAATACAAAGAGAAAGCAAAGAGAAATCATGATAAACGACATCGATCGAAGGAATACGAATTGAAGACCGGAGACGCAGTGATCGTTAAACGAGAAAAGAAGAATAAAGGAGAAACTCCATACGAACCGTACATTTATGTTATAACCAAAATCAAAGGCTCGATGGTAACAGCGAGAAGGATGAAGGATGAGAAGACGAAATGTAGAGATAGATCACGATTCAAGCTGCTAAGAATGAATAAGCATCACCCAGAAGAACAGCAACGAAGACCAGCAACCCAAATTCCACCAGCAACACAAATTCCACCAGCAACACAAATTCCACCAGCAACCGAAATAACCGCAACTACAACCCAGCCAGAACCCTTGAATGTTGAATTAGAAACCCATAGCCAACCAGAAACCATCAGACAGGAAGAGCCACGAGAACTGCGAAGATCCAGAAGAAAGAAGACATCAACATTCGAGACACATTTAAAGGATTATAGATAAGTAATTAATTAGTTGAATAAAATAGAGATTTAATATTAAGTGCTATATCAGAAACACTATGCGAACATCAAGATATTGTTAGATAAGTTAAAAACATTATAAAAAATAAAAATAAACGAACAATTTAGAGTTAGAACTTATTAACTGATAGGGGAGGAGATGTAATAACTTAATGTGTATAATAGATAGGACTAATTATAAATGCTAATTATTCACTAACGTATTGCTAACACGTAAACATGTAATCATATATTCATAGTACCTGAGTGTAAAGACATTTAGATTAATAAAGCATGCATGTGCACAGCACAACAAGTTCTAATCGAATACGTGGTAGAGGGGCGAATTTGTTGTTGTAACGGTTTCCCGCGGAATCTTCTCTTGCACTCACTGCATTCTTTCATGATTCTTTCAACCGTTTCCCGTGCATGCACAACTATATAGCTCTCGCGAAGATGATTCAGAGTATAATTTAGTCCCATTTGATGTCCTTCTTTCTCATGATGATACTTGACGATCAGTTCCGTAACCGGATGTTTCTTTGGAAAGATAACGGGGTACTTCACTCGATTTGGTAAATGTTCTGCGTAACGTAATCTTGTGTTGGATCTTAACAGTCCGTCCATTAATATCGGTGTTAACGTAAGGATAGAGCTATTTTTGGTAGATTTCTATTTTGCTTCAAAGCTTCAACCTCGTCAGGATAACTTTCGTACTGTGCTTTTTGAATAATGTTTTCTTCTGTGCTGCGTACCTCATCTGCTGTGAGTTCTCCATGAGTGCGTTCTTCCCTTGATCTACGGCAGTTATTGATGAATCTGTGGACCCACGAACGTACTCGTACTAACGAAAGCCTAAATTCAAACCTGTTCTCATTGTTTACTCTGTACCACTTCGAATATCGTAAAGGATCCATACGTTGTATTGAAACTTGAGGACTGGTCATTTGTAGACACACTCTCTTGTTTTCGTGCTTCGACTTTCAACTCTTTGCACTTTACTGAGTTGAGTTCTATTTCGATCTTTTCTTCAGGCCATGCATCTTTAGATTTCTTCAGAAATTTCGGGCCAAACCACCACTGCTGACTGTTTTTCATCTCGCTGACATTCATTCCTCGCGAACCATAATCTGCAGGATTTAACTCCGTTGGAACATGCTTCCATTGGTCAGGACACGATTCGTCATGGATCTCTCCAACTCGATGTGCAACGAAAGGCTTATAATCTCGACTTCGTCCGTGTATCCAGTGGAGCACGTTCATACTATCCACCCAAAAGATTGCATCTTTCACAGGAATTTCTAAAGCTGTAGAGACTTGTTTGGTTAAGCGAACTCCAATCAGCGCCCCCATTAGTTCTAGTCGTGGTATACTTATAGCTTTTAGTGGTGACAGTCTTGTCTTCGAGGCTATCAACGGTGTTGTAACGGATTTATCTTCATACTCGTGTCTCGCGTAAACAACTGCCGCGTATGCTTTCTCTGATGCATCCAAAAAACTGTGTAGTGTAACGCTGGTTACTAGATTACTATTCTTTAAACACCGTGGTATCTTGATCTCTTGAAGAAGGTCCAATTCGTTAAACCAGTTTTCCCATTCGTTTTTAAGTTTGTCAGGTAATTCATCATCCCAATCTAGGGCTTCCAACCAGGTTTGTTGCAGGTAGAGCTTTGCTTTGATAATAAAAGGCGAGAGAAAACCAAGTGGATCAAATAGTGAAGCCGTTTTCTTCAGTACATTTCGTTTCGTGTAGTGGAAATCATCAGTTGGGGAGGAGTAGTCAAACAGAAACTCGTCGTCTCCTGCGTCCCATCGAATGCCTAAAGTTTTCGTTGTTGGCAGTTCATTCTTCTCTAAACTAACATTGGACGAACAATCTTTGGCGGGAATATCTTCCAAGACTTCTTTACGATTGGACACCCATTTACATACGTGGAAACCAGCTTTGTCTCCCATTTCGGACAACTGTCGCCGTGTTCCTTTTGCAGTTTCGACCGAATCTACAGAAGGCATTACGTTATCCATATAACAGTGTTTTTCAACCGCGTTGGCCGCCAAGGGATACTCTTCTTTGTGATTTTGAGCGTGTTTCTGCCAAGTATATTGTGCACAAAAGGGACAGTAACATCCTCCGAAAACGAATCTCAGAAATTCATATACTTCTGGCTCTTTGGATAGATCTAAGTCCCTCCATAGAAATCGATGTAATGGTCGATCTTCTTCGCGCAAAACTAGTTGATGGTACATCTGACTTATATCGATCACCAGCAAGCGCCACAGTTTCTTTTCTAAACTTGACTAAGATATCGAAAACATTACTTTGTAACTTAGGACCAGGTAACGCTTCGGTGTTGAGACTCTTGCCTTCATAAGGTGCTGAACCATCGAAAACTATTCTTACTTTGGTACTAGCTCTCTCAGGCCGTACTACGGGAAAATGGGGAAGAAGCCATTCCTGCTGAGGCTTTTCTTCATCTTTCGGTACTCGACGAATGTATTGTTTTTCAAGATATCCATTCAATACTTGTTGGTAGGCCAGAGCTACTTCTTTATATTTCAACAGCTTTTTCTCCGTGGACAACAATCTCTGCTTGGCCATTGGTAGGAAGGTTAGGACGGTCTTCCTTCCAAGGCACCGCAACCTTGTAGTGCTTACCATCAAATTTCATTGATTGACTCACCTTTCCCCATGCTAACTTCTCTTTGGGCGTCATTAGTGATTCTCTGGTGGGGGTTATTCCGACGCTTTCTAGATCCCAAAAACGTTTGAGGGTGGAATTTAGGTCTGAGCATTCATTTGGAACATCATTTGTCGTTGCTTCCTCTACGTGGATTCGGAAAGTATGACTAAATCCAGTGTGATGATGTGGGCCCAACATTACTTCGTTGCTCTATTTTACCTACCGCCGTCCATCCTAAAGGACAAAGTCTAGCAACTGGATCGTCTTTATTACCGACAATCTCTTTCATTGAATACATTAATTCATAGTGGTCTGCTCCCAAAAGGACATCGATCTGATTTCCTTTCGCTAACTTTGGGAATGGGATCTTTTTTAGGTGATTCCAATTTTGTTTTATGGTTAACCAGTTAACAGCTTTCATTCCCCCAAAGATCTTTCCCGAGGTTTTTGCCATAATTTCTGTATCTACTCTTCCGTCCATGCTTTCCAGCCCAATCGTAAACGTGTTCGACATAAAACTAATTGTCTGGTCATTTGCTACCTTGACTTCGATTTTTTCTTTCACTCCGGTTAAACCTAGTTCTTCTATAACATCCTCATTGATGTAAGTAGTGTCACTTCCTTCATCCAACAGACAGTTTACATTAACTTTCCGTGTTCCATTCTTTAAAATAACTGGGATCGTGCGCAGTGCTATCTTCCTGGTATCATGATCTGTGCTGGTTTTCATGGTAGTAGCTTGTGTATTGCCATCCCCCTCCGTGCCAAGAGCCTGTTCTTGAAGATTTTTCTTTTCTGGATCCATTTGTTTCATGGGAGGTTTTTCCGCAACATTGCTATCTTGATTAGGACCTTTGGTATTAACTCTTCTTTGTCCATGGAGTAAACGATGGTGGGTTTCCTTGCAACCATTAATATTACACTGTCGACTTCTTGTACACGAACTCCCCAAATGATCTTTCCCGAGGCATCTGTAACACAGCCCAACTCTTCTCGCAATTTTCCATTTCTCATCAATAGCTTGACTTCAGAAAGAGTCACATTTCCAAATTGGATGACTTCCTGCACAAGCAGAACATGGATCGTACTCTTTCTTACCGCTTTCTTTATTAAAGAATGACCTATATCTTCTCTCCTTTCTTCTTTCACCATCCGAATTAATTCCATTTTTAATTTCAGATGCTTGCATTTGATATTCCGCTTCTTCAGCTACCCAATATTTCAATTTTTCCAGGGAATCTTTGTAGTGATTTTAGTTCACCCCAGTCGTAATGTTGCTATTCCAACACTTCACGACATGACAAGCAATCTCCGTTAGCATAACGGCAAAACTTTCAAGTAAACAATAAACAGTCTGTTCTTGTCCCATTTTTAATCGAAAAAAGTGATCAATTTTCGAATTTTAAGCTTATCGAGAGCCTTTGTGATGAATCACTGATCTAATTATAGAATCCAACAGCAAACAGTCAATCAGAATGCCTCGTTCGTGGGCGAACGCGGAAAGTACAAAATACCGGGCCTTGCTTGCAGGCCCACTATTCTTCCCTTGGGCCTGCACGCGGGCTAAATGTAGAATAATAAACCAGGGGGGTGTCTTTTCCAACAGACTAAAAATGGCTTGCGCACGAAATTTAAAAGCTTTAATCATCTTTTGAGTTGAAACATTTGTTGGGTTTTTAATTACTGTACAAAATTTCAGACAATTTGCTTAAATTTAAGCCCTTTAACTATTCGCGCAAACTTACATTTTTTCCTAAAAATCAGCTATTTGCATGCTTTTAAAATGCCTTTGCCTAATTTGCATATGTCAGCAATATGCAAATTAAGTAAAGGCATTAATTAAGCATGCAAAAGGCTGATTTTATAGTAATTAAAAACCCAACAAATGTTCCATCTATTAACTCAAAATATGATTAAGCAAGCCATTTTTAGTTTGTTGGAAAAGACACACCCCCCTGGTTCACAAAATTTGAGTTCGACATTATTCTACATTACTAGGTTACCTACAGGGCAGTAATGCTGCCTTTGACAGCAAAAGACAAACTACAGGGTGTTGAACGAGTCCTTCAGAAACATCATATTATTGTTTAGCCTGCATGGCAGGCGGTTCCTAAAATTGGGCAAGCCTGGGAAATACCGCCTGCCATGCAGGCTAATTATTGTTATCCTTGTTAACCCATTTATTGACAGTACCCTACCACTGACTGAGTATTAAAAATCGTCTGGCGTTGGACAGGGTAAATATTAAAGTAGGGGTCATTACTGTGCTGATGAATTAACAAGAGCCATTGGCAGATAGGTTTGTTAACCCATTTACTGGCAGTACCCTATACCACTGACGAGTAAAATCTTCTGGCGCTCGACAAGGGAAGGGCGCGTTGCCAGCTAATGGGTTAAACCACCGTGGTTAAACATAAGATTTCATGACGCTCCAGGAAATGTAAACAAGCTATCAGTGTGACATCCCAGTTTATATATTTATATACTCGGAATATTGATTTCTCGGTACATACAAAATTATTTTAAAGTATAACAACCAGCGAAGACGTAAGGCACTATCTACCCTGCGCGGCTGCGCGCAGACTATATAACGACATATATATGTCATCCGTCCGGTCCGTCCGTCATTCATCCGTCCGTCCGTATCCGCGTTTTATCCTAACCCGTTTTTAAAACACAAAGTTTGCATTTAATCTATGATTTAATTAAGGCAGTGCGGTTCGTCATGATCAATATTTTCAAAAGCGGCCAATTAGACCAGGGGTTAAAGGGCAATGACAATGACATGCAGGTGACATTTAACATTGCGTCTCACCAGGGCGCTATAAAACACGGGCGGTGAAACGGAGATAGCGCCCCTGATCTTTGTGTGATGCGCGTACCCCCGTATACATTAATTTAATGTCAATAAAAATGGAATTGGAATGTTTATGCAAAAAAGAGCTGAAAAAACTAAAGTAAAAACTGTTTTCTGCACATTCCTAAACAACTTGATGGTTTGAAGACATTGTTGAATTCATTTTCTGTATATCTGATGAAGGAAAGAGGGCTTTAAAAAGATTCATCATGAGTGAAATAAAAATTTGAAAAGGAATCGAGCTGATCGAATGTGGGCATACTCTAAAAATATTATACGAAAATTTTGGTATGAAATGGGATATTTTACTTCATAATGCGAAGGTAGGATAAACATTTTCACAGTAAGAATATTCTGACATTGCTTGGCTATTATTTTTCAATAATTATATAGCCAAAAATTGACCATGCATGCATTTAAAACAGCTAGAATTTGAAAAAAACAACTACAATTTGTTCGAACAATTTGAAAACTTAAATATATAACCGTTTTTGTGTTAACCATGAGCCGGCCTGCTCGGAATCCATTGAAAGTTCATTGTAAAGTGTTTTTTACTAATTGATTTGATTTCTATTATTGGTATAACTAACTGCCGCCGACACTCCAAAAATATTCAGTGTGAATCTTTTTTCGTGCGACTGCAGTCGTTGACATTTAATACAGTGACAGTGTTACGGAAAACTATAAAGGCTGCAAAATACCTCCACTTTATGAAAAAAGCACAAAAAAGCCCCGTTCAATTTTACGTGGGACATAAAGCCAAGTTAAATGTCTAAAGTTTGGTGTGTTCAAATTTATCTCAACCTATCTCAACGAGGAGAAAACACTATTTTAAATACGTCCGCGCTTTGTCAAAAAAGAAAAAATGTCGTCAAAATCGAGTTCAAAATGCATGTCTTTTCCTCAACAATCGCTTCGTTCATTTTGCAAGTGAAATAGATACCAATTCTAGCAATATAAACTGATACTAGATACTTCAATAAACATTTATAGTATGTATTTGCCAGGGTGGAAAGTTTGTAGGTTGCGCCAGGGCGTAGTAAAACACGGTTCTTTTTCAAAACGTAAACATGGC